TGTAAGTTCCTGGTGGTTCCTGAACTAATCCTATAACATCCACATTGAAAACTTATTCGGAAAAGACTATGTACCTATTTTTATGTAAATAATGAAGTCTATAATTTGAAGAGGAGGTTATACATAGCTTCAACAAAGTTAATTGCTCCTATTCATAAATTTCTTGTCCATATCCAGGAATGTCGTCGTTTCAGTTTGGAAATATTTTCAAATATATCCCTTGAGCAATAACAAGACGTTTTACTTTTAGATATATAGCGCTTGAGACGTTTAAAAAATATATGGTTAGTTGTGACTTCCATTTACCTTATTTTTAGCGGTATTGAATCCGCCGTTCTTTATCCGGTTTCACTACCTACTATAAAATGAGACATTTTAGAAATACAATTCCAATAAATATTTTATAAACATACCCTTCAGCAATTTCCATGTCTCGGAGGCTCAAACAAAAATTTGATTTTCGTTGCCGAACGTTGCCTTTATCGATTCTTAGCAAATGAATCAGAAACATAAATGGAACTGCCTTCCATATTTCTTATTGGATTGATAACACAAACTACGAAAGCAATGGTGCCCATTTGTAACGCCCCAGTTTGCTGGAGCCATGTATGTACCACATTATTTACCGCACTTCAATTTGTCTTATTTCTAGCAACAAAATAACACACGCGATTTACATCACGACTTTTCAATTTTAATTTAGAACACAAATCTATATTTTCTATGGAATTTTACTTTGTAATATGATTTTCTTTCTGTAAACAATTTTTTTCATGTCAACAATTACTTTTAGCGCCTAAAATGCAACACACAATGACAGAGTTGTATTTTGTAGAGCAGGTTTACATTCAATTAAGGTAGCTTTAGAATATTTGATTTAATTATTGATATTGGAATTACATGCAAAAGTAATAAATTTGTAAACTGAATTTAACTTTTCTTATTTAATATAAAACTTCGTATCATTTTTTATATAAAATATATCCTTTTTTGTTTGTTTCTTCTTGTTTTATCGACTTTTTAATACTTGTTCTCATTGTTGTTTAGTCTAAAGTACCTTTTCATCTATGGATGGTTGTCGTAACAGCTTTTATTGTACGTTACCCCAAACACTTGCCAAAAGTGCAATACTAAATCAAAAACGTTCCATTTAACCAAGAAAAAAGCAACAAAAAAATCAAGCTCCATCGAATTTAAAGTCAAATCAATTTCTAAATGAAGTTATTTTATAAAAAAACATTATAACATAAATATACAAAATAAATAATGAAAATATAAAGTCATTTAACAGTTTTTGTTTCGCAAATAGTGTTATTATGTTGCAAATTAAAAGTTTCTGTGAAATTTTGTGAATGCGCCAATTTTGGGGCCAAGTGAAAAAAAACTCAAATCGATGACGCCTTTTGGAGCAACAATGCAACGAAAAATCTAAAATCCATGGAGCTCTAAAATCAAAAATCATAGATTTTGATTTTAGAGCTCCAAATTTCTTTGAATTCCATTTCATTGCTATATTAAGGAAAAAAGAAATTTAGATAGTATTAATGCAAATAAAAATATAAATTGCGAGTGCTATTCTTGTGTTCCGAAAAAATGTTTTTTTTTGTCATAATTGAAATGCGCCATTTTGTTAAAAAAGAAGCTCCCTGGAAATTGGAGTCAAGTGAAAAATATAGTGTATTGTGTAAATAAAAATGGCCTTTTTGGTTTTTTTGCAAAAAAGCGAAATAAATAAAATTAAAATATATATATGTTTCTCTTGAATAAATAAAATTAAAATTTTTGTGTTGTTGTTTACCAATGGGGGAAGTTCGAAATAGTGAATTGGAAAAGCTGACCCCGTGTAAATCGAAAAATGTAATTGATCAAAGCATTAGCATAATATGAGGCAAAATTTGTTGAAAGAAAATTAAATTTCATTTATAAAAATTTAAAAATTATAATTTGTGTGATTTATTTTTATAATTAAGTGATTTTTAATTTGGAAAGATTATTTTTGAAATTATGATAATGCCGAAAGCCGATTATTTAATGGGTAAGTTATTTAACATGTTATTTTCAAATAATACAAAATACTCATACAATATTCGATTGATTTCAAACATTCAGGAAATTGATAAATAACACTGTGACACATTTTTTAAATTGAAACTCGTAAATGGTAGTAGAAAAACGGCTTTGAATTATTAGCTAAGGGTTTTGTATAAACCAGGGTTTTATTTTGTGGATTTTCAAATATTACGTACGAATATCTCGTTAACTACTTGAAATATTGATCTTCAGTCTTCAGCAATGTTTTACGCCTTAATAAGATCTACAAATTTTGTTTTGGTATAAGATCCAAAAAAAAAAAAACAAGAAAAAAATCTTACTCAAAATGGCACAACTGTGAAACTGTCCTGTGTTTAAAACTACCATTTAATTCGACCATCAATAAAAGACAGAAATATAGTCAAAAGAAAAACAAATATGTAATATTTAAAAATCCACCCAAAATCGAAAAAATTTAAGCCGGTTTTAAGCAAAACCCTTAGGTAATAATTCAAACACCAACTAGGGTTTTTCTTTTGGTGGTCCTTCTTTTGGTGGTTCTTTTGGTTAAGTGCCTTCGGAGTATGTATATTAAGAAATTATACATCTTAACTTCTCTGACGTATTAATTAAATTGAAACTAGTATAGTTTAGGGCCGGATCGCTTATCTTATCAAGTTAGGACTAGCCGAACTTATGTGCAAAAATTGTCTGCATATATTTTGCAGTTTTGCTGAACGGAATAAATCAGACTTCATGTGTAGAAAATTCAGATGAATACCTCTAATTGAGAAGCTGTTGAATTTTCATCTATTCCTTGTAAATTTGGTTGATAAATGTGTCAAAATTCCCCAAAATAAGAAATTTTGTATGTACCACTGAAACATGTTTCAATAGTGATAATTTTTGTTAGGAAGATTTTCTAGTCATTGAGAATTCAAAATATCACATTAGATCCAGTTCGGATGTTAAAATGCTTAAATCCCCAAAATATCGAAATATTGGAGATAGGTTTTTCCCAAAAAGAGAACCGGCATTGTTAATTTTTAGAAGAAAAACTTTTTACTTCGAGAGAACTCAAAATAACAGACAACGTGCCCAACATTCCCAAAATATCAAATATTAGGAGTACTGTAATATGGGGGTCCCATTTTCAATTCCAAATATCATATGAGTGGTAATCATGTATGTGCAATTTTTCAAAGCTCTACTTTAAAAACTGATAGCTCCATCGTGATTTAAACAGTCGATCGGACATAGACTTTTATTCTGATCAAGAATATATATACTTTATGTGGTCTCAATTAATACACACTGGCAAATTTAATACACACTGGGTCCGTATCTTAATTGAGGATTTAAATTTTTTGCGATTTTTAATTTTTCAAAAATGTGAACATTTATAAAAGATGGAGTGTAACGATAGCCACCACCTTTAGACTTAATATAGGTTTGATAAATGTATTATGAAATTATTATGTATTATGAAATTATTATGAAATTAACTATTTGCTCAGAATATTAACCACTTGCGGGATGTATTAAAAGTAGTGGTCCAGTAGTCTTCGTCGTCTTAAAATATTACCATGTGCAAAAATAGAACAAATCGCATATTTCATTTGCAGTATATGATGTTTTGCTAGTTTTCATATGCACCATTCCATAAGCAACGTGTATAAAGATAGCCCTTATTATATTCGCTCATTTCACCCAATATCGATTAAATATTTTTTCAATTTCTTATTTATTGAGTCGCCGTCGGATAGACGAACTCTTAGAGAGATATTTAACGTTGTCTATAATTTAATGTTTATCATCTGCTTATTTTCCAAACTAGTATGTTTTTGGCCAGTATATATTGACCGTATTAAAACGTGTCTATACAAATAAACAATTTCAATGAGGCCTCATCTCCGATGTTTCTATCGTCTCGTCTCCCTGATCACGAAAATATATGACATCCATGTTGGAAATCCATACTTCCCGAGATATGGATTTCTGAAGTTCCGAAACTCATGCTCATGGCTTTGTTTGTCATTGGTATGGCTGTAAAGCGTATAAAATCCGATATGAGCTTCTAAAAACGCAAATTATTCCATACTTTATTCCATGGACAAGTGGAAAAGGCATTTGGATTCGTGGACTACATTGTATTTCAAATTATATTCCCCAAAATAACAAATTTATCTACGCAAACAGATTTTAAAATTAATTTAAGTTTATATAAATCGTATGAACTTTCCCCATATAAAATATATTTGGTTGTGATCAAAACATTATTCGGTAAAAATTTCAAAAATAAATAAATGTCCATTGGCTTCACAACAAACTCATAAGGTAAAATTTCTTTAAGAATAATGTACAAATCACATGGTAAGAACATTGTATTTAATCCACATTCATATTTAATTATCTTTTCCAAAAGATTATAACCATTCTTGTTGCGAGATTTCTATACTTTTTTGATTTGAGCTCTGGCCCTGTTTTCCTTTTTGGTAAAAATAAATATCATAAAAAATGTTAGTGTTTAATATTATATCTCCATATATAGTCTCAGCACCTAAATACTTCCGTCACATATAATGCCAAGGATTAGGCCTTCTTATAGTGCGGGGATTAATAATGCCCTTTCCAACATAACGAATTGATTCAAGAATCGTAAACCCTGTATTTCGATTGTTGTAATAAACATTACATATTTTTCGACAAATCAATGTTGTTATTACAGTTCCTATAAAATATTCCATTATCCACATTCAAAACAAATCGTTGAAACACCGCTGCATGAGTATTCGCACAGTGCCTTAATTAAATACGAAAATAACCTTTAAGTTTCTGTATTAATAGAAAAAACACTTCATTTCAAATTTACATTTTCTTCACACTGTATTCTCCTCCTTTGATTCAAAAAGACAATAAACACCAGAGCACAGCCCATGTTCATGCTTCTTAAAATTTTGTCGAATCAATTTGTGTTCACATCTCTTTTAAACTTTTCACAATGAAAAGGCTTTTATTGATTTTTTATCTGATCTGGATGTTAAAAAATTATAATTTGAAAAAATTCAATGGAGGCAGCAAAGAAACTAAAACGTCACATTTATTGAGGCTTCCTTCTGAAAGAGCAACCTGAAAATAAAGAACAAAAACAACGTTAGAATTATCAATTCACATGGTTTGGGGAAGAAGTGGACAAGTGGAAACTTACCTTCTGTGAGCTTAGCGCGACCACCGGTTGGCTGGCACAAGATAGTAGCACATCCCGCACATACAACGACGCCTTGAGCGTGGCTGAAGACAGTTGTGATTCTGTAGCAGCCGGGGCACTTAACATCCATGAAGTAGGAGTTGGGGTGTTGCACCAAGCGCTTCAACTTGTGTTTACGCTTCTCTTGAGCGGGCAAAGGGTGTAACAAATCTTTGGCTAGCTGCAAAACAACAACAAATTGTTAACATTAGTCACCAAATCACCACATTGGAGAAATCATTTCCCAGCCTTAAAATATTGCCACCAACAGAAACAATAAAAAAAAATTGCAAAACGTTGTCCATGCCAAGTGGAGGGAGGTTATGTCTCAAAGTTGTTTATCACTTCCACTGGGAGTTTATTGTTTTCTCATAATTTTCGAAGGGCATTGCAAGTTTTTGTTGGATAATTTCACAACATTTTGAAACTTTATCCACTAATTATCACTTATCAAAGCCATGTTACAGGTATTTGATGACATTCACACATTAAAAAAAAAAGAATGCCATGTGTATGTTATTCCCTCTCTTTTACTCGTCGTCGCCTCACGCACCACGACCGACCACAAAGCAAACATGAATTTATCATTTTTTTGGCATTTTCCACAACACTTCACACAGTTTTCCATAGTTTTCGTGCAACACCATCATTTGCGAACAATTTTTGTACATTTTCCGGACAGTTTTGCAATTTTTTCGTTTATTTTAAGGCATTTTTCTGAAAATTTTCACCCACCGGCATGTTTATTCTTTCACAGCTAACACGGAAAAGGAAGTAGATTATGGGCGAGCGAAGTTAGATGTGGTTTATATGTATTGTAATTTCACCATGGTGAAACACTACTGCCATCTAGCAGTGGATAGCGTTTAGGGTTGTATTTGATTAGAATGACAGGGTAAATAAGAGAATGTCAGTTTGTTGGACATTTATTATGGACAGAAAATGACATGAAATCACATTATTCCAATAAATTAATATGTAAATTATGATGAATCTATTTTTATCTTTATTTCTGTGTATTATTTATGTGCAATTTGTTGTTATTTTAATGATTTCTTTGTGAATAATTTTAAAATTTCTCTGAGTCATCTTGTGACATAAATTGTGAAATTTTGTGAATGTTACCAGATTGCTGAAAGGAGTTGTGAATTTCATGACATTTGTTAATTTACTTACCACAAGATGTCAAAGTACAGTGTTTCATATATAATTTTACATTGCGGTTAAGTATTATGTCTGGTTACTTATTTTTCTAGGGATTCTAATAACAATATTTCTAATAATATAACTATATCTAATTAATACATAGTGCTGATCTGCTTATTCAGTATGTCGATTACAGTTATTACAAAGAAAATGCAAACTATAAGTATTTATTATCACTAACCCCCTATAAACGTTAAACCCTTATTTGAACGTTAATTCCTCTTTTATATATTTTATTTTATAGTATTATGTATTCAGGTCTTGAAGGCCTTATATTACAGAAATGAATAATAAATAAAAGTACGCCATATCAAAGAATAAAATGGCCAATTCATTTTTTAGAACAAAAATATAAAAAAAAATATGCAAATAGTACAGATATTTTTTATGAATAAAAATATATATATATTCATTTCATCTAAATTCGTGTTGGTGATCGGCCATATAGTCAAACAAGATCAAACCAGATAGTGCACCGCTTAAATATTGGTAATGAACCCATTATCAAGGTGACACTATTTTTTTCTCATTTGAAATATTTCTGTATGAGCAAGGGAAAAATCTTCATTCATTAATTGTTCCGAGATTAAATTATTATTTTTGTATAAAAAAATATTTAGTGTGTTTTTATTAATAATTCTTTATTGTTATATTATTAATTTATTTATTAATATTTATTAATAATTAATGGTTAGGTTGATCCAATTAACAGGTCATATAAGAGGCGAAAATTATCGGCCATTTTTGTAGAAAATCCCTGAAACTGTCAAATTTATTGTTTAAGTTTTCACACGATTAAGCTAAATTTTCGTCTCTAACACGACCTGCTAATTGGATCATGGAATTCATCAAACAAAAAAAGCAAAATAATTTTTTACTGGGAAATAATTTTTTACTGTCCGATCAATACTTTACGAGAAATCTATCAGTGCAGCCATCTGCCGAAAAAATAAAGGATTTCTTTTTTCCCCAACCTAATATAAACCCTTGGTCTATTAATAAGGTCATCCAGAGAGACTATCTGGAAATCAGATGATTTTCCAGTTTGCTGTCAAAATGCACTATTGTGTCATTAGACTTGAGAAAAAAACAGCGGTTTTCGCTTGCTGGGTGACCTAATTAATAGATTTTGATATAACCTAAAAGCGCATTTACGTAAAATACTAAAGGTTGCAACTGTTCTTAGTAAATGAGTCGCTCGGTGTACATAGATTAACTCAAATTTTTGAAAAATATTAAATTTAACTATAAAAGTTATTTGACTAATATAAATTATTGTCATTATGCATTCTACATTATATAGTTTAATTGCCATTATTAAAACAATTTTAAAAACAACATATATCATCGGATTTCTCATCGTTTCATTTTATGAAGTTAACCGATATGTGAGCGGCTAAAAATTTTGTCTTTTTCAGATGATTTATATTTTATAGAAAACCGAAAATACGTTTTTGGGGAAATAAAAAAATATGAATATTTAAATCCAATAAAAAATTGTAACATTTTTTTCTTTTTCTAAACAAGTGTGAGTGTGTGCGTGTGCTGACAGTCATTTGAAATGATTTCAAAGCCTGTGTAAATAAGAATAATTTATTTTCAGGATGTCGTAAATCCACATCATATAAAGTGCGCATGTAAATGCTCTATAATTAAATAATTATTCTATTCTCGTTTTTGCGTCATGCACTGTCTTATGGTGTTACTTTAAATACGTTTACAATACGCCTTTCACTAAACACCATATCACATTAGTTGGCCACACTAATAGCAAAAAGTATTGCCAAACTAAAAAAGTGAAAACATAATTTCAAATTGAAAAAAACGGCCAAACTGTCACAAAAGAATTCTATTTTTACATTGGCCTTTGGAAGAAACACAAGTCAAGCTCATTGAATAGTAAGAAAATTTTTTATATTTTTTAATTCCCATACCTAGAAATAAATTAAAAAACATTTTCCATACAAAGAAATGTATTCCATTAATGGTTGCCGAGAAAAAGATGCCTTGCAAATAAATATGGAAATCATTACCAAGGAGTTGAATGATTTGGTTATTGCCAATGAAAATGATTGTGGTGCTGAATATTTGCATTGTCATAGTTCGATTTCGCATAATATTGCTGGGGGCATCCAAAAATTAGTTGGTCCTCAATATGTTAAAAATTTGCATCAGACTCCATATGTAATGTCCCAGCAACATGTTCCACCAGTTGGAGATTATCATTTTGAGAGATCGTTTGGATCGCAATCAACTCAAACGAGAAATTTAATTCCAGCGGCAATTCCAAATGTTTCTAATACTTATCCGTATCAAAATTATGGGTATTTTTCAAAACATCTTAATGAATCACATGGAGCAACTGGCTATGTACCATCTGTACAGCAGCATTATCTGAGACCACAAATGAATGCTGGGAAAATAAGCTCACCCCCTTTGTTGTCCGTAGCGGCAACAGATAATGTGAATAACTCTCATAGCTCAGTTGGAGGATCATATAGAAAGTTTACCAAAACAAATTCCAGATTTAATTTAATGTCCAGAAATCAGGAATATGATTATAAAAATATTGTTATAGATCTAAGTGCATTGGGAATAAGCAAAGATGGGTAAGTGCAAAGAATATTCCTTCATGACATAATCTAATGACATACTTTCGGATTTACAGAAAAGAATCGAATCCGGTATTGCGGTTGTTTAGTCTATTTCGTGATTTACACATTGCACTAGCTGAGCAGCCACCAATAATCGAACCTTTGACTAATGAAAGTGTTTATGTACCAACATTTGCACCACTACCAAAAATTGCTCTACCCTGCACCATGAGTGTCCAATGTCAGGTGAAATATGCCACAACACAAATTGCAACATTCCTTTATGTTGTCAAACGTCTAATGGCTGTGAACATAGTGTATGAGCCCAATCTGAATGCAGAATGTGAATTGTATATCATCAAACTCCGTCAAATGTTGGCTCAATTTGAAATGTATAAATTTATCGAATTGAAACATAAACGCGGGCAATTTCTAAATGAAAATATACGGGGTAAGTACAATTGCAAATTAAAGCATTAGATTGGATTTTATTTTAACAAATTGGTGACGCAGTACCTTTACATGGGGTTTATGCGCAAAGTGCCAAAATACAAAAATAATAAAGAAATATTTTTGACATCAGTATGCAAAAAATTGTGTACTGATAGAATTTTTTAAAAACTTAAAATTAAAAAAAATACTCTTTCTAGTACACGCTGAGCACTTGGAAAAAGTAATGGAACAAATGAATCGTCAGGTACGAGAAGTAAATCTACGTGTTATGGCATGTGATTGGTATATTGCCAAAAAATATGGGCGACAAATGGGAATTACTCCCAAAACGACAACAACAGCAACAGAATCACCAGATATGACATATGCAAATCAAAGTGATATTGGCGTCATTAATGAAATATTAAAACTTTGTGATGAACCTACGAATTGCAATAATGAAACAGCTGATGGTTTAGATAATAAACCAAATGGCACAACTGGAGAACTAAAAACAGCTGTTGGTAATTGTTATACAGCTGCCAATGTTGGTGGTGCTGCTAGTGCTGAGTGTTTAACAAAGCTTGCCAATGGCACATCAGCACATGTTCGCCAACCGGTTTTTTACATTGGCTAAAAAGATTTTTTGTATATTATTTAAAACTTTTCTTTTTATATAAAATTTTATGTTATATATATATATTTTTTTTTTCTTAATTTTTATATACTAATTTTAGCTTGTAGTTTTGTTTTATATATTATTACAATTATTATTTACTTAATAATTTGTTTAGATTTAGATTATTTTTTATTATAATTTAAATTGTAAATATGTTTGCTCATTTTCTTCATTTATACTTTTAATTATTTGTATATATTATTTCAAATTATTTATACGAAATTATTTTTATATTTTTAATAATTAGTTTTAATTACTTTTTTCAATTTATTTTTAACAAATATTTTTTGTAATTATTTTAGTGGTCAAATTTTTTGTTCCACTTAATTATACTCCTTTTTTTTATTAAATTGTTGCATTTGTTTAAATTTTTTTTTATATAAACAATTCAAAATAATTTCATTTAGTTTAAAATTATTTTTAAGTGTTCTTATATATATAATTTGTATTTTAAAATTATTTTTATTATTCATCTTTAATTTTATATTTTAAATGTATGTAAGTCTTAAGTTTGTTATTTTTTTTGTTCATGTTTGATTTGAACAATGTTTGTATATTAATTGAACAAGCTGAAATTCCAATTTATAAAGGAATTTCAGAGTCAAACTCCATTTTGATAGCGGTTCTCCTTTATTCTTTTACAATAAAATAAGCCAACTTTTTCCCCCCTAAATCATTAAATTTGAAAAGCATAGCTTGTAATGTCAGTCTTTTTTACATATATTTTCAAAAACATTTCAACTGAATTTCACTTTTTTCTCTGAATTTCATAAGAAAATTAAATGGAATTATAACGATAAATTCGAAACTGAATGCAATACGTTTATATTTAAATAAGAATTAAATTCCCTAGATAGTCTTAATGTGTTTTTTTTTTAGTTTGGGGGGCTTGGACTGTTTGAATCCCACTTTTACTTTTACACAATGAATTATTAAAGCAATAACAAATATTGCTATGTTTTCTTATGGAATATTGTTAATTAAATTTTTAACAACGTTTCTTGCATCCTAAATCTATTCTAGTCTTTTGAAATAATAATTTTTTTTTAATGTTACCGACTGTTTTTTATTTATATTTAAATTTGAATTTGTTTATGTTTCTAAAAAAATAAAATTGAATTTAAATAAATATTTCGTTTTACTTCATATTTAAATTTTATAAATATTCTATGGACTTGCCACCACAACGAATTCAATATTAGTTTTTTACTGGCATTTGAAATATATATGTGTGCGTATGAATGTGAATAATTTCCATTGATATTACTTTGTATGATATATGGTGATATTTTTTGACTGTTTTTTACAATTATTACAAACTTTAATTCATTTATTAGGGGCCGTTTCCATATAAAATCCAATAGTACTTAATTGATATTAACTTCATTAGTTTCATTCCAATAATTATTATATTTTTTAAAGCTAATTTCACATTTTATTGAACTATCTGAATTGTTTGAAATATTATCGGCCTGAATTGAATTGCGGCAAATTCAATGAGTATTAGTTTTGCGACATTCCTTAGCTAATTAGATAAACATGGAAATATTTGTGAAATATTCCCATAGATTCCTTTGATAAACAATGGGAGTTTTCCATTAATTCATCCATAAACTATGGGGGTTTTCCATTAATTCATACCAAATTCTGCTTATGCAGAATCAGCAATTAATCAGACAATAACTTGCCTCATTTTACTTTGAGCGCCCTGGATTTTTTTAGGACAAATTTAATTATTATTTTATGTATATCAAGTTGTATTTATGTGAATTGTCTGCATGAATTTAAAATTATTTTTTTTTATTTTGGTTGAATTGATTATGGTTATAAATCTGTATTAATTTGTTATTGATTTGAAAGTTCTTGCCCTGAACTATGAATATAGTAAAATTTTCATTCTATTGACCTAACTGTTTAGTTTAGACGATGAGTAATATAAAGGTATTGATGGACCGACCTTGAGTTTGTAAATAATTGGAATGTAAAATGACTCTTGAAAGTCTGACCGTCTCATAGCAATAGTAATCTATAATACACTGTTTGCGCTCATTATATAAATGGATGTTATTAGAATATTCTAGAATATTGGATGAGATAGCATTGTTTAACTTCGCCATCATCGTGGGATATTAGGTGACCGATGATTTGGTCTATCTTTTCCGCAGCTTTGTTTTAAGTTTTTTGAATTATGTTGGATAAGTACTCGATAATATAAACATTCACTTCTTTAAGGTATTTTATTCCCCTGCTGAGATTTTGGATCACATATTAGACACACCGAGTGGGACAATGTAAATCTTCCATTATATAAATATATATTCACCCCCTATTCCGTATATCGTCGTCGACACATTGGCATTCCCTATGTCGTTATCGACATTTATCGATCACTATTTAATCAATACAATAACGCACTTTTAACTTTAAACATTAATTATTTCTCTTTAAACATTTATTGTGTGAAACATTTGCAACTTTTTTAAATACGATTTTGTTCGATTTTCATTGCAGAAAATATTCCTCGCTTGGATATTTACCAAAGACAGTTTCCAATCGGGATTTAACCAATGCATTGAACATTTTCGAAAATGCCGGCTTCAGTTCTTCGTAGATATCTTTCCAATTTTCATTTAAAAAACGATTCATTGTTTCGCCCAGAACTTTATCACCGTTAAATAGATTTTCTAAATGGTATTTTACATTTTCGGCTTCAAAAATCAATTTGGTGTGATGCAATTTGGCATAGATCTTGCCATTCTTTTCCACTGGCTTCAAATCGAAGGAATACTTGATGTAGACATTCCCTGGGCAAGATAACAATTAATAGAAATATTAATATGTGTAGTACAGTGTACATGTTATGTGATGACTACTTACTTGAAACTACTTTGGATGGACCTTCCCCAACAATGGGTAATATCAGTACATTACCACTAACCTTGTAATTGCCCACTTGTATTAGCTCGGGTATATTTGCATCAAATTCGATATGATCACCCGTTTTACTGGCAATTAAAACATATAATATGTATTACATATGAACGAAAGGTTTATTGTCATTGATAAATTCCATCAAATGCTGCAACCAATACTTACTTGATTGATAATATTTGCATTGCCTTCATGCCATAAAATGTTACATTTTTATAGGAAGTTTCAATTTTTATTGGGCTGTCGGGATTTGTCTTCAGCGAAAAGTCATTAGCCTTCAGCGGATCGAACTCTTGTAAACCAAGTTCGGGCAATCCCGAATAATGTTGCTCAACAAATGCCTGGGCAGTACTCCTTAGACATTCACTGTCCTCCTTGTGACATCTTTTAACGGAGGAAGCTATTTAAAATAAATAATAAATAGGATTTTATTTTATTTCATTTCAATTATATTTATAAAAAGACGTTTGATACTTACGAAATTCCGCAAAGCTGCTGAATATTACTGCAAATAAACAGAGAAATAATAGTTTCATTTTTCCGGCTGAACTGTTGATTTAGAAATGACAATTTCAAATAAATGAATTGTATTTTATATTCAATTCTCTGATTTGTAAATAGCCCTGTATTTCTAACGAGTATCATTGATTTATCAGCCCATGTGTAAAACTCGTTGTGTAGATTGGGTTGGGTGACAAAGTTTTGAGGGTGTAGTATAAATGCTGAGGATAGTAGTGATAGTATTTGATGTTGTATATACGAAAAATGAGGCACACCGCATCAAGTGCAACATATGAGCTTTAATTTTCAAATAGTGGTCAATATTTTGAAGTTGGTCGAGAAATTTAAAATATAAATTGATATCAAGGACAATAAAAACATAGTTCTAGTTCTTTTATATATCAGCATCCAATTCCATACACACAATAACTAAGAGCTTTGTTTGTGCATTGAAACACTTCAGTCAAGTACCCAGATTATCGTAGGGTTATCGTATAGTCGATGACTGACTAGAAACCTTACCGGTTTACAAGTATGTTATTGCTTTCTTATTATATAATTGGTGACACTATTTTATAGTAATTATACATTACAACTTGTGGAAAAAAAGATTTACGCATATATTATAGGATTGTAGATTTACTTTGTAAACTAACTGCACATGTGTATGATCTATTGAGAAGCCCTTCGGTAAGCGTATAGGAAAATTACGATTATGTGTATAATCTAGAATATTGTGAGAGAACAACAAAAGAGAAAAGTATGAACTTCTCAGTTAATTTTGAGCGTTGGGTTTATTCTACAGAGTGTGAACAAATGTTTTATAATGATTACTTTAATGAATATTAAAAATAAGAAGCAGGTCTATAATTGTTTATTCGTATGTAAGTGATTAAGGTCTGTATGTTCACAATGCGGTTACATAGGTCACTAGTAATTATGAATGCCATGATTTAACACTTTTTTTTAAAGTCATAGTTTTTAATGGAAAATATTGAAGTAGGGGAATATATAAGGCGATATAACTGATAGTCTTCCATATTGTAGACCGGAGTTGAAAATGGTTTCTCCTAGTTTTATTTTACTTTGTCATGGGATATTATTGGGCTACAAAATTAATATTGAACAATCGATGAGTTGGTCTGTATTTTCCACAGTAGGTGCTATCAACGTTTTCAAATCATTGCAGCGAGTAGTAGTCGTTAATGTTAGCATTGGCTTTGAATTCCATATAAGCCAATGTATATCACATAATATAAAACTTATAAAACTGAGAAATTTGATTACAACAACGCCCTTTTATTATTATTACATTAATCATTTATTGCAAGAAACATTTTGAAATTTTCTTTTAAATTTAATTTTTTTAGCTTTTTATTCCAAAAAATATTCCTCCGTTGGATATTTATCAAAGACCGCTTCAATTCTTGATTTAACCAAAGTATTAAACATTTTCGAAAATGTTGGTCTTATTTCTTCGTAGATATCTTTCCAATTTTCATTTAATAAATTGTTCATTGTTTCGCCTAGTACTTTATCACCATTAAATAGATTATCCAATTGATAGTTTACATTTTCCGCTTGATAATTGAATTTGGTGTGTTGCAATTTGGAATAGATCTTGCCATTCTTCTCCACAGGCTTCAAATCAAAGGAGTACTTGAAATAGACATTCTCTGTGTGGAGATAAAAGTTAAAAGAAATATACATATATGTGAAATCCAGATGTTAGGTGATGACTTACTTAAAACCACTTTAGATGGACCAGCCCCTGCAATGGGCAATATCAGTACATTACCACTGACCTTATAATTACCCAATTGTATTAGCTCTGGTATAATTGCATCATATTCAAAATGATCACCCGATTTACTGGCACTAAAATTGATGAAATAGTTTTCTTTATATTGATTTGTATAACATAAGCATAAGCATTTTTACATATCATTGTATATTGCAAAATGTAAATTTTTATTCATAGATTCCATAACAGTCATATGTACTCACTTCATTGTTAATAGTTGCATTGCCTTCAATCCGAAAAAAGTTACATTTGTATAGGAAAGTTCAATTTTTATTGGACTATCGGGATTGGTTTTTAATGAAAAGTCATTAGCATGCAAAGGATCAAATTCTTCTAAATTAAGTTCAGGCATTCCCGAATAATGTTGCTCAATAAACGCCTGGGCCGTTTTCTTCAGGCATTCACTGTCGGTCTTGTGACATTTCTGAATAGAGGAAGCTGTTTAGAAAATAAAAATATTTATTTTTCAAATTTTATTTTGAAATTTTGAATGATAAAAAAAAAATAAATCTCTGGAGGTTTTATTCGATCGATACTTACGAAATTCCGCAAAACTGCTGGATATTATTGCAAACAAACAGAGTATTAATAATTTCATGTTGTCTGCTGAACTGGTGTTTCAGATATGATAATTTCAAATCGATGATTTGAATTTTATATTAAATTATGAATTTAATTTTAATTATGGGTTATTTATAGTAACTAATTGTGGAAAAAAGTTGTACGCATATATTATAGGACTGTGGACTTTGTAAACTAACTGCACCTATATATGATTTATTGCAAAGCCACCTTACAAGCGTATCGGAAAATTACGATTATGCCCATAATCTAGAATATTGTGAGAGAACAATAGAGAAAAATATCGATTTCTCAAACAATTTTAAAGTGTGATTGCTCATTGGGATTGTTCTACAGAGTGTGAACAAATAGTGTTTATTAATAATTACTTTCAAGAAATTATAGATCCAGTGAGGCATTATGTAAAAGGTTTATAAACTTATGGGATAATTTAATTTAATTCAGTTCACTGTATAATTAATTAGAAAAGTGATTCGGTAGATATGGCGTTGGTTTGATGTGGAAATAAATACACAGATTTAAATAAAATTTTTTTATTGTTCATTTATTCGTAATATTTCTCATATTCTTGATATTGAAAGAATTTATTTGCATAGGCCTTTATAACTAAACTAACCGATTTCGCAAGGGCCGGTTGAATTTCACGGAATATCTCTTGCCAGTTGGCATTTAAGAAATCATTTGTGGTCGCCTGCAACGATTCATCACCATCGAATAAATTTTCAAATTGGAAATGTACATTTTCCGGATCTATTTGCAGTTTAACATGTTCCAAGGCAGCATAGATTTTACCATTGTTTTCGACTTTTTTGAAATCCCAAGAAAAGTTGAATTTTAAATTTTCTAATAAATAGAAACATAATTATTAATATATACAAAATTATAATAATAATTACTTACTGAATTTGATTTCAGCATTTCCGTTGCCCTTAATCGGCAATACCAGCACATTACCATCCAGCATGTATTTACCTTTAATGGCCAAGGAGGGAATGACTCCACTTATTACATTACGGCCACTCAGATCAGCTTTTAAACCTCTAAAAATAAATAAAGGAAGAAAACGACAACAATCTTTGTTATTTGGCAATTGGCTTGATTGATTGATGAGATGGAAAAACATCATATATTTCATCTGTAGGGATTTGATTGAATTTTGAAGATATTTCGTATAGACTAATGGATGGAAATGTAAACGATTTTATTCAGTAACTAACTGGGCTATAGGCGTGGGACTTAAAAAATATGTTTCCCAGGCCAACTGGACTATAAACGTGGGGTTTCAAAGAACATAACCCTGAATGTTCTCACCCCGACTGGCCTATATTTTTTAAATAAATATTTTTCACCGACTGCCTCTACTATAAGCATAGGACTTTCAAAGAATATTCTTCAGCCGTGTAACTAGGCTGTAATGTCTTCATTTAATATTATTACCGATTATCTTGGTCTAAACGTTTGAAACGTTGGATAATCAATTACATGTGTGGACGCCAGTCGTAGGTGAAGTTCCGGAGTAAGAATTCCAGGGAGTTCCCCAGGGTATTTCACGGAGCGCTTCGTTACATATGGAGATCATTGTACGATCTTGGCGTCGGCTCCTATTGTTGAAGACATATGTGTGAGGTTTAATGCCTTAAAATATCCACCAAGAAGTCGTCGTTCATCACATGGACTGAGGAGTTGAGAATGTCTTTGAATGTGCAAGTCGAGGGGCACACAATTCCGACAACCAACTAAGTCAAAATACTCGGGGTCACATTCGACAGCATGTTCAAACCGTCCACGCAAATAACAGCTATCTGCGATAGGTTGAAAATCCTCAAATCGCTTGTCGGCAGCTCTTGGGGCGCAGATAAGAAAATCTTGTCGGTACCAGTGTGGTCTACGAATACTAGTGTTACGCAATGGAGAAGTATTCAGACCTGTCAAAACGCCGCCTTGAGAACTGAGGCTGCCTTCTGCCTGATTAATTGCCCTGCCAAATATCTCCGACTTACTCTTGAAGTGGAAGTAGCTGCATTTCTTAACTTGGAGACAGAACCTGACACAATCAAATAGGGAAAATGACACTCATATAAAGTGCTACAACAACAACCATAAGAATAATTTTCGCCAATTAACTGCAGAATAATCGTATAGGTCTCAAAGAATATGTTTTTCCTACTAACTAGGATTTACAGGTGTTTTCAAGAATCATGTTTCGTTGATTTACAACCGTTTTCTTTTCATTTTGTTCGCCAATTAAATGGGCCATAAGGAAGGGGTCTTTTTTAATAACATTTGCGTCCGATTTTTAAGCAATATTATCCAACGATTAACTGAGACATAAGCTTCCTTATTTCAAGCAATATGCTTACTTACTGAAATTTCTCAAATTTGATTCCCTTGAAACCTTCCAGGCTAACATCTTTAAGCTTGATGTCAACATTGACGGGACTTGAGGGATTTCTTGGAACATTTAACGTTTTAACATGGAATGGATCGATTGGTAAAAAATTGACAGCTGGCAAGCCACTACCATAATTTTGTATAATATAGTCAGCAGCTTTTATAAAACATGGTTCATCCTCATTTTTGCATTTTGGAAAGTTGGGAGCTTGACCATGGGAAAAAAATAAAAAAAAACTTTTTATAATTTCCAATTCA